GGCCTGAGTACTGTCCCTGAGCTTTTGTCTTAAGGCCAGCGCTTCCTTAGGAAGAGAAGTTAGTACAGGGTAGTTTATTCATAGCTTGATTCACTTGGGGCTATTTGAGGCTTTATGAATAACTGTAATGTCTAATTTAAGACTTCACTGTCATGATTATGGGTTTGGTAGAAGGATCATAACTCCTTTTAGTTAAGCTGTCTTTCTGAGTTAGGAAATTAGAAATGGATAACTATATAAATTTTCTACTGCCAGAGGAAGTATCTGTAGGATAGTCATAAGTGAAAATTTCTGTCAGTTTTCTCTGCAGGCACTTAGAAAAAACATAGAGCTCTTGAAGACTACCTCTAACTCAGGAAACCCGAAAATTGAAACTTGGATCTGTAATCTTTTCACTTGTAATACTGCGTCTAAGAAGATCTGGGAGCCTCAGAGAACCCTTAGGCTCCTTGCACAAACAAGGGAGTATTATTTGGTTGTGAGCTATGGGATGCCGATTAAGTCTGTTAACATACATCTTTCACATCTTGAATTCAGGGCCTAATCTTCTCCCTTGGCCTTTTTTGCTCTTGACTGATGGTAGACACTTAAAGTCATGCCTCCACTTCTGGCTTTTTCCTGGTTCACTGGAGGTAAGAGTCCCTCCAATTAATTCAAACCTTGATCCTCAGCTCTCAGCCTTCTGAATAGCCAGGATCAGCTTACTGAGTAGGTAAGTAACACCAGCATCCAGCTCTTTATTTATTTTTTTCTTTAAAAAGATTAGGCTTGGCACAAGTGACCCACACCTATAATCCTAGCTACTCCGGATGCTGAGATCTGAGGATTATAGTTCAAAGCCAGCCTGGGCAGGAAAGTTCATGAGACTCATTATTTCCAATTAATCACCAAAAAGCTGGAAGTAGATCTGTGGCTCAAGTGGCACCAGGCTTGGGCAAAAAAGCCAAGAGAAGAGTGTGAGGCCCTGAGTTCAAGCACCAGTACTGGCACACATACACAAAAGTTAAGTATTTACTTACTGTGTGACCTAACTATTTAAATCCTGAATATATCAAAGAGGAATTAAAATATGTTCTCACATAACTGAACAAATGCTGGCTGTAGCATTATTTTTAATGATTCAGATAGGAAATAATCCAACTGTCGTTCCTTTGGTAAATGAACAAAGTATGACATTTCTATATACTGGAATATTACCAAGCAATAAAAAGAAGTAAATATAAGTCATGCTACAACAAGGGTAAACCTTGCAAGCATGGCGGAGAAGAAGCTAGAAGCAGAAGAGTACATATTGTAAAAGCCCAGTGTAGACAACATTTTTATAAGTGGTACTGAAGTTGAGAGCATGAACTGGAAACAAAACAAGGTTCAGGAGCAAAGGAAATGGTCTAAGCTATATTGTCATGATGGTTACACAATAGTAGGTGACATTTTGAGTGTGTATATGTGTGTGTGTGTTGATACTGGGGAACTCAGAGCTTTGATAGCTCTGTTGGCTTGTTTGTTCACAGTTGGTATTCTACCACTTGGGGATAAGTCCCTAGTTTGGCTTTTTGTCAGTTAATGGAGAAAGAATCTCATGGATTTTTCTGCCTGAGTTGGCTTTGAACCTCGATCTTCCAGGTCTCAGCCTTCCAAGTAGTTAGGGATACAGGTGTGAGCCACTGGTACCTGGCTACAATGAGCAAATGTTATGTTATGTAAAATATATCTCAATAAAGTTTGGAAAAGAAAAAAATAGCAGGAGAGAACACAAAGAAAAAAAGTAGGGCATATATATCTGTTTTTTCAAACCAGTGGGTTGACTAAACTGACACCATATATCATTAAACAGGAATTTCCAGTTACTTTCACTATTAACACTATTTGCCCTCAGTTTTATATGGCAATCATAACTTCTGTTAAGTGTAAAATAACCAAAACAACACCACCATAACTCTTAAAACAGGACAAGCTGAGCAGAATTACATTTCTAGATAAATAAACTGAAGGCAGCCATACAAGGTAATTTTCCTTGATCTTTTTCTAACTCATCTTTTGCATTTTCCCTGTAGCAAGGAGGAAGATATGTCCTGGTTTATGTAGGAAAGGCCAGCTGTCCTGACAAATTTTAATAGTATCTCTTTCAAAAGTGTCTTTGGCAGGATGATAAACGGTAAGTCACCTTACTGATAGCAGAGTTATTTTCACCTTTATTGACAAGAAGGGGAAATTCTGAGGGCCTATACCATAGCATAAATCATACACAATAAAAATTTCACTATTAGAAATTTACAGCTGAGGATATGGTCTACAGAGAAATCAAAATGAGAATATAAAGTCCTTGTGCTTTAGGTTATGGAGTCCTTGGTACTACCATAACTATTACTTACAGAAAAAAATACCATTTCTACAGGTTGAAGTCATTTTTTTCTTGGAGGTGGTAACTATTACTGTCTGCATGTCAGCATTTGAGAAATTATTTGCTTGTGGTTATAAGTTTCAGTATGAGTTTATATGTAGAATTTCTTATGCACATATAGAAACTTTTCTAGATAAAGAGTTTAGATCCTCAAAAGACTTGTGACATAGGAAAAACAAAGAACTGGTTAGATTGCTTTGGCAGGGTGGTTAAACTTGAAGATGTTATCAAACAGTTTAAATTAAAGTTATTGAGATGCAGTATATAAAAATATATGCATATACATCCATATTAGGTATATAAATATTACAGTTAAATAATGTGGCATTTTAGAATCTATATAATTAAACATGAAGGTCAAGCCATCATGTGATACTGAATGTAATCTAGTAGTAATGACAAAGAGCAGTGAATGCTGGTAGAAATGTCTGCTCCTGATGACTAAACTCTATTTACTGAAGTAACTTTGTCAGTTTCTTACATACTTTTCTCACAACCTTACTTAAAAGCACAAAATGAGAAGTATAATTTGAAGGAAGTAAGGATATTGAGCTGCACTAAATGAAATAATTTTGTGTTCTCATTTATTTATTTGCCAGTTCTGGGGCTTGAACTAAGGGGTTGGGTACTATCCCTGAGCTTGTTTTGCTCAAGGCTAGCACCCCACCACTTGAGCTACAGCACCACTTCCAGCTTGTTTCTCTTTATGTGGTACTGAGGAATTGAATCCAGGGCTTCATGCATGCAAGGCAAACACTGTACCATTAAGCCACATTCCCAGCCCTCTTATTTTTTTACATAATGAATGAGTTAGTTTTATTAAGAAGGGAAAATTTTAGCAAAATATTGTTGGAGTGGCCTTATTTTTTTTGTCAGTTGTAGGGCTTGAACTCTGGGCCTGGGTGCTGTCCCTGTGCTCTTCAGCTCAAGACGAGCACTCTACCGCTTGAGCCACCGTGCCACTTCCAGTTTTCTAGTGGTTTATTGGAGATAAGAGTCTCATTGGCTTTCCTGCCCGGGCTGGTTTTGAACCATGATCCTCAGATCTCAGCCTCCTGAGTAGCTAGGATTACAGGCATGAGCCACAGGTGCCCAGCTAGGAGTGGCCTTTAAAAAAAAATTAAAGTTAGTATCCTAGGCTGGGGTGCAGCTCAGAAGTAAAATATTCCTTGAAAATGTAGGGATATTAACATTATTGTCATAGAATAACACACAGTACAACAGTACCATTGTTATTGAAATACTTTCATATAGATTAGTTATATACTAATCTATAAGAAATGCAATTAAGTGATAAATTAACATTAATTCCAACATGAATTCTTCAGTTCAAATTAAATTGCCACAGAATATCATAACCATCAAAGGTACTCGAGATTCCTGTTGCAATGTCACTTGGTTGATATTAAATATATAGCTAGTAATTATATTCTGATATATACTGACATTGAATTTATAACATTTTCAGGTAATATTATAAAGGTTAGAAATGTGAAATTCTGTCAGCTCAGAAAAAACTAAGAAGTGAATTCTCTCTTTGTTGGCACTAGCTCATGATGTCACTCTTTAGTAGTATTGGAGAAAGGTAATGGCAGCTGGGAGGGATATTGGTATAGATGTGAACAGCAGTCCCATTTGGCTGTGTAATGGACAGGAACAGTTTTGGGAGGAAGTGATATACCCACTCACTGCTTTGGAGGAGCTTGGGGAAGTAGGTGGCACTTTGGAAAGACCCTTGGTTCTTGGTCATGTAGAAAGTTCTGGTATCCGGGTATATACTAGTACTGAGCCTTGATTGGGGGCAACACACCTCTGTCCTCTGGCTGCAATAAAGTGGACTGCTGTCTTGTAACATATATTAATCGGTAATATTTTATTACCTTTTTATGTTTTTAAGACACTGGAAAAGCAGAAGGTTTGTTTTGGTCCTGGTCTATTTTCTATGTTAGCCTTTCCAATGCTTCACATGAATAACCACAAAAGGATATTCCTCCAAGTTTAGAGGGCTCAGCAAATATGAGCACACTGTCTACAAAGTCAGATAACAGCGACTTTCAGGCAGGGGATTCTGTTAACACTACAAACTCTCTACTTAATGAAGAGAGTTTTAGGATTTTCCTGATATACCTTCTGGGCAGATTCAATTTCAGGTGTCCTTGCAGAATGCCTCTTTCAATGCTTCAGTCTATGAATCAGTGAGTAGAAGGTTAAATTTAGAGCTCTGTCAAAATTTTTTTTTACCCAGAATCAGTTTTTAATAGCAACCTCTAAGCCAAACAACTTAAATGGTATATGAACAATGTTGAATAAGAAGAATGACAGAAAAGTTGTCAATACATTTTTCTCTACTGATGTAAAAAACAATCAAAGCTTAGATCCTCTTGCCACAGTGATGGGCTTTGTTCTTTTTCTTGGTTTCTCTTCTTGTTCTCCTGTAAATTCACTAGATCTTCACCTACATTTCATTCCCCATTTTTAACCCTCTCCCTTTCCCTTCTGACCTCCAAGACTACTTTAAGTAAGGTAGTCTGGTTTATAAATTTATTGTCAGGGAAACAGTAGCTAACAAGGTAATTAAAATTGATTTCCCAAAACTTACCATCAGAGGGCACAACAGTACTGCAGTAAACAGCTCCTAGGTTCTGCCAGGATGGGAGCCTCTGGTGCACCTACAAAAGAATCAAACCAACTGTTAGGAAAGGACAAATGTCATGCACATGTATGCCACATCAGCTTTTGAGTACAGAAATCACATGTATTCCTTGTAGAAAAAATTTTAAGTACAAAGAAAATAAGCCTTTTAAGCTCATATCATCCTAACAGTGAACATTTTGATGCTTTGATATTATAAACACATTTACATACACACATGAGCACAAATATTACACTAAACAAAGATTAGACTTATACCTGAACAATAATTTTTAGTTACTTTAAAAAATAATGGTTTAAAGTGCTATCATATCAAATTTTGAGGGGACTTCTTGCTAGCTTTTAGATCTGTACTTTCTTTTTTAAAAAAATCTTTTGCCAAGTATAAGGCAGCTACCAAGTAGAGGCAGCATGAATTTACATTATTTGAATAGGCACTGGGTCTTTCTGCTCAGTCTCCTCCTTTAACTGGAAGGCAATCTCTGTCCTTGCATTCTTAATCTCCACCTTCAGTGTTAGAAGATTATATACATTCCTTTACTACTTCATCAATGTGGGTGTGAATCTAGAATTTAGGTTCTCATAATCAAACTAAGCTTCAGGAAAAAAATGAAGACATTCCTAACTCACCAAATGCTTAGTTTTTGGTTTCTTTTTTTCTAGCCTCAAAAAGGTACCAAAGGAGAAACAAAGAAAGAAAAAGAGAAAGAAAGGAAAGAAGAAAGAAAGAAGAAAGAGAGAAAGAAGGAAGGAAAGAAAGGGAGTGATTAAAAACTGATGCATTATCCTCAAGGCCTGTTATCTTCCAGGGCATCACTCCAAAGGTAATAATTTAGGACAGACTATGATGATGCATACCTTAACAGCAACAAGCACTATTTATGTGAACATCACTAATCCCCTCCCTCCTTCCAACTGGGAAACAAACTCTTACAAAACATGGAAATATTACCTACAATAACTAGAGACAAAGTCCTTAGCTAGTTACCAAACTAGGTTTAAGTCTGATTCACTAGGATTTAATTTTAGTTATGTTTAAAAAGTAGAAATATAACTGATTTTCTTCTAAAACCAACACAGCTGTTCCATATGGTGAACAATTCATCTTTTCCTCACTTTAATTGAAATGTTACCTTTATAATTTTCCCAAATCCTATTAAATTGGACCTACTTCTGAATTTCTAATAGGTTTGCTCCTCTATTAGTAACCACATTGTTTCAACATTCTAGTATTATGATATATCTAAATATCTACAATAATTAGTTTCCCCTCATACTTTAAGAAATTTTCAGCTGGTGGCTCACACCTGTAATCCTAGTTACTCAGAAAACTGAGATTTGAGGATCGTGGTTTGAAACCAGCCTAGGCAGAAAAGTCTGTGACTCAATTTCCCATGCAGACACTCCAACACTCATCATTTAGGCTAGGAGTCGTTGTGCAGCAACTGCACTCAGCTCGTAGGGCTTCAGAGTGCAACCCTGAAATGCAGACCTGCTGGGTATTTAAGGTTGCAAACCACATGTTGGTAGCCTTTTTGCAATAAGCCAGAGCAAGCAAACTGCAGGTACAGCAGCGAGAATTACGCAGTTATCAGGAATTTGGTGGTTGTGTTGGTTTCCCTCTCACCCATTTCTTGGATCTGCGGAGGTCAGGCTTGATTCCGGTTATTCAGGTCACTGTGACTTCTGGGTCACCCCTGGCCTGGAGAGTCCCTCATGGTGGATGCTGATAGTTTTATACAATTTACTGAATTCCAGTAACCCAGTGTTTAACTCCCTAATTTACTTCAAGCCTTTATCCTTAGAATTTTCCCTTTAATGACTAACCTGGAGGTTCTGCCTTTAATGTTTTGCCTTTATAGTCTCTCTCTGTCCCTCTCTGTCCCTCTCTCTCTGTGTTGGTTGTGGTGCCTGAACTCTGGGCCTGGGCACTGTCCCTGAGGTCTTCAGCTAAAGCTAGTACTCTACCACTTGAGCCACAGCACACTGCTGGGTTTTTTTGCTTATGTGGTGATGAGGAATTGAACCTAGAGCCTCATGCATGCAAGGCAAGCACTATACCACCGAGACACTTTCTCAGCCCTGCTTTTATTCTTAATAATCAATAATCAGTAATTTTGTTTCTAATCCACATTTTACATTCTTTGTGTGTGTGGGGAGGTGGGGGGGGGTCATCACACTTTTCTCTAATAAAAACTACCCAGAAAAAGCCAGAAGTAGAGCTGTGGCTCAAATGGTAGGGCACTAGCCTTGAGTACAGAGAGGCTGAGTTTAAGCCCAGGCAGGTCTGGCAAATAAATAAATAATATTATTATATTATTTATTCAATTTATTCTTATTTATTCATTTCTCCACATGACATTCACTCATTTGATAGTACTGCAGACTGAACTTAGGTCCTTATGCATGTGAGGTAAGCACTCTTCCATTTGAGGCACACTCCTAGCCATTGTTTTTTTGTTATTTTTATTTTTATTGTGAAAATACTATACAGAGGGGTTACAATTACATGGGCAAGATAATGAGTACATTTCTTATCAAGCATTGTAGCCTCCTCCTTTGTTTCCCCTTC